TAATTGGGATGGGTGTGTCAGAGGCAGTGTGATTGGCACAGGATAGAGCAGGGTTTAGGGCTGTTGTACATAGGGTCGCTATGAGTCGCAAACGACTCCACGGCACATAACAACACCACCACCACCATACTGATTGATTATTACAGCTGTGTAGGAAGTTTTGAGATCTGTGCCTCCCGCTTCAGTCTTGTTTTTTAGAAGTGCTTTGCTCATTCTAGATCTCTTTACTCTCCAAATAAACTTGACAATTGCCTTTTCTATCTCTTTAAAAATGAATTTGATATCTGTATTGGAATGGTATTAAACATGTAGATTGCTTTTGGTAGACTTCTCATTTTTACTTTATTGAATTTCCCCATCCACGAACAGGGCACGTGTTTTCACTTGTTGAGGTCTTACTGTTTCTCATGGACGTGTTTTGTAGTTTTCCATGTAAAGGTCTTTTGTGTCTCTAATTAGATTTTATTACTAAGTATGTCAATTTGTAGTTAGCTATTTTAAATGATAAATTCTCCCCTCCCCCGCCTCTCTGAGTTCTCGTTACTGTAGAGGAATCCCACTGACTTTTGTATATCGATCCTACCATTCTACTAGCTCTAGCAGTTTGTTGTTGTTGTTGTTGAGTCCTTGAGGTTTTCTGTGTACATTATCATATTATCTGCATATAGTGACAGTTTAATCATCTTTGCCAATCTTGGGGTTTTTTTTGTTTTTGTTTTTGTTGTTCCCCCCCCCCCCTTATTTCCTTCTCTTGCAGTATTGCCCTAGCAAGCACTTCCAATACAATATTGACTAGACGTGGTGATGGTGGACATTCTTGCCTGTCCCTGTTTGCAAGAAGAATGCTTTAGTCTTTCTTCATTGAGAATGATATTGGTTTTGCATATATATTTTTCACAATGTTGAGGAAATTCTTGTCTATTCTTATTTTGCTGAGCATTTTAATCAGGGAGGGGTGTTGGATTTTGTCAAAGGCCTTTTCTGCATCAATTGCTAGAATCATGTGGGTCTTATTATTTGCTTTGTTAATATGATGAATTACATTGATTGTTTTTTCTTATGTCGAACCATTCTTGCATGCTTGTTATGAATCCTACTTGGTCATGAAAGACACACAAGCATTGAGGACTCTCCTTCTTAGGGTCGCTATGAGTTGCCTGTGACTTGACGGCACACAACAACAACAACATATGCTCTTGGATTCTATTGGTCAGAATTTTTTTAAAAAATATTTTTGTATCTATATTCATGAGATTTTAGTGGTATATAGTTTGTTTGGTTTTTTCCTTTTTAATTTATATCTTTGTCTGGTTTTGGATTAGGGTTATGCTTGCTTCATAGAATGATTCTAGGAGTGTTCTTTCTTTTCTTATTGCCTTTTGATTTCTTTACTGCTGTTACCATGGACATTGATTATGGACCTAAGTAAAACAAAATTGTTGACAACTTCAATCTTTTCTTCATCTATCACGATGTTGTCTATGGGTCTAGTAGTGAAGACTTTTGTTTCTTGATGTTGAGATTTAACTCATATTGAAGGCTGTAGCCTTCTTCTGCAGTAAGTGCTTTAAGTAAAAAAAGAGGAAGCCCCGCTTCACCCTGTAGCTTCTCCCCTGAACCTCTCAGAAAACATCTCAGTGGAAAGGGTGGCAGAACCTGAGTGTACCACTAGCACCTACATGGCTTCTCCTCAGTTTCTGACATCTCAGACTGGATGGTCTGGAAAAGATTTCCTGCTCTGTCCAGGTGTTACTGTCCCTTCCTCACTTCCACGTAAAGAGCTCCTGAAGCTCTTTATCGAACACACATCTCATTGTTGTGGATGAAAGTGTCAATTACTTTTCTCAGTAAACCAAGGTTTGTGGCTAAGGAAGTCTTTTGGGATCATATTTCACTTGCTGAATGACAGAAATCTGAGACTAACATATGGTTGTTGTTTTCACTGTCCAGAAAGAAAGAAACCGTGAGATCTTGAGAGTAAATACAGAGCCTTACTGGAGGGGTTTACTTTGCCCGAATTCTTGATTTGTTTAGTACTCCCTGTCTAAAAACAGAGAAATTTAATTTTTTATTTATTTGTCATGTTTATCTGTTTTTCATAGAACTGAAGATGTCAAGGAAAATGTGCTGGCTGTCTTACTCATCATCCTTGTGTCCCTCCTTGGATTTTTGACCCTGAACCGAGGCTTTTGCAAAGATCTGTGGGTCCTCCTCTTCTGCCTGGTCATGGCCAGTTGTCAGTACTCCCTGCTAAAGGCAAGGCCCCATCTCCTCCTGCCCGGTAGCATGTGCCCTCAGTCACTGTCCTCAAGTTCATGAGATGATGACACAACACTTCTGATTTGTGTTCTAGAGCGTCCAGCCGGACCCTGCCTCTCCAATCCACGTAAGTTTCAGAAACTCAGGCAAGGGGCTTGCTTGGTCTGTTTGCTTGTCCTAAAGATAGGGCAAAGACTGATCTTGTAGTAGTGCATGAATAATAGCTGGGATTTTGGGTTCACCAGTGTGGATCTAGTGACACTGCATTCCTGAAGAGCTCTGTGAACCCACAATACCCACTGTGCAGCCACTGTCTTCTCCACCTTTATGAAGGGGTGGGTGTTGGGGCTGCTCCCTACATGCTACCTAGTTGAGTCTTTGATGCTCTCAGCTCCTTGGACACCCTTCCTCCCTTTGTTAGGATGGGCTCCTGTAATTTCCTGAAAAACTCTCTGCCTAAAAAGAGGTCATCCATGTGTGTTGTGCTCCTAAAAAATGCATGTCCAGGCTTTAGTCCTGATTTTAAATCTGCAAAAGCTCAAGTTTAGCTCATCGTAATTAAGAAAAGCTTATAATTGGACAGTCACATGGCACAAGTTGCTATCTTGTTAAATTCCTCTGTTCCCTGTAATTGGTTTATGTATAATACATCTTTCTTTTATCACCGAGTCTGAATGTCAAGTTAACTAGAAGCAGCATAATTAGGGTATTAAGATGTATTGTTGTGATTGTAGTCAAGATCTGGGTTAGGTGGCATGAGCAGAAGAGTGCAGCTCTAAGATTTCCCCTGAAGTCTTCTAGAGCTGCCTGCTATCCATTGCACATTCCAGCAAACTTTCTCTTAAGCAATCACACACACCTCAGGGTCAGGCCTTTTGAGTACCAGTGGGGAAGAATGGTGTGCTATCCAAGAGTCATTTCCTCCTTGCATTTTTAGAAACAAGGCAGAACCTGTCAGTGAAGGTGCATGGAAGGAAGTACATCTGTTTCCATCCCTTTGTGTGATTTCTATGCCATAGCCTCTGTCTCTCCTCTAAGGTACAGTCCACTGAAAAGATTAGACTTTATAGGAGTGAGTATGAATCAGTGAGAAATGAGATTTTCTTAATGTTATAAGGAGATATGGTTTATACACCTGACTTTGCTTATTGCAGTAACTGATTCACTTTAGAGAGCTCTGGCAGCCTTGGAGGTAAGCAGTTGCACTGCCAATCCAAAGCCAGGCAATTCAAATCCACCAGCACTCTACAGGAGAAAGATGGGACTCTCTATCAGTGCAGTTTATAGCCTCTGAAAACCTGCTGGAGGATCAGCTGTGAGTCCTGATTCAACAACAATGATTTTTGGCAATTAATTTTCAATAGGTCTTACATTTCTTGATATTTCTATTAAGGAAAGAAAAGATAATAATTAGAAAATCTTTTTTCTTGCAATGTGACCAAGCGATGTGGGTATTTAGAAAAGGAACTCTGACTATGGTCTCCAATTCATAAACAAGATAACTTGAGAACAGAACTGGTGAAGAGAGCAAAGCGCAGTTTGGAACAATTGGTTCTTGGAGCTGCATTTGTTTCTAGCCCTGGATAAGTTTTTATCCATCAGAGACTGTCCTCTAATCCCAACCACTTCTAAGTCTACATTCCTGTGAATCTTTTTAGGGATGGGGCTGCAGTACACTCAGTCAATTTTCACTGTAAGAATAGCTGATTGAATTTTCCTTTCTAATTCTTTCCATGGGCATAGGTGGCAAATGAAAAGGTGTCAAAATTAGCAGAGAGTGAAAGAAAAATAATATTTGTATGATGTAGCTGCACTTGATATCTGCCTTAGGTTATGTAAAAACTAATGAATGATACTATTTTTCCTTTAAAACAGTTCGGAGTTTACTGATAAAGAGGGTAAGGTGTTACATAGAGTTCCCATATACCCCAAGTTGGAAACCAAAATCAAACCCAAACCCAAACTTGTTGCCATGGAGTTGATTCCAAAGCACAGTGACCCCCTAGGAAGGAGTAGAACAGTGATGAAGTGTTTCCAAGGCTTTGCAATCTTTATGGAAGCCAACTGCCACATTTTTCGCCTATAGAGCAATTGGTGGACTTGAACTGCCTAACTTGTAGTTAATGGTTGAGCGTTTAACTCCTATGCCACTAGAGAATACCCAATAACCAAGTCACAAATTTTTGACATCTTACACAATTAATGAAGCTATAATGATGAATTATTGCTAACTAAATTTTTCACATACACCACACTTTCCTAGTTTTTTTTCTCAGTGTTCTTTCTCTGTCCCAGGGTTCATCCAGAATGTCACCACATTCTGTTTAGTTGCCATGTCTTTGTGGCTATTCTTTGTTGTGACAGTTATTCAGATTTAGTTTGTTTTTGAATACCTCACAGTGCTTAAGAGGACTGAGTAGTTATTTTGTAGTATGTCTCCCTGCTGGGATTTGTGTGATGTTTTACTTGTGATAAGACAAGTTGCTGATTATGCGCTTTTTCTTTTTTAAAAAAATGAGAGATTATAGAGGTAATACGCCACTTCATCACATCACATTACTGGTACATACTATCAATATATGCCCAATACAAAGAAAAATGATCCAACAGAATGCACACATTATAGAACAATATCAATTGAACAATATCAGAACAATTGTTACTGACTAGGAACTGCTCTAATTCAAGCTTGGTTCAGAAAAGGGTATGCAATGAGGATAATACTGCTGAGGTCAGATGAATCCTGGCTGAAAGCAAAAAATTCCAGAAACACGTTCACTTGTGCTTTATTGACTGTTGAATGGCATTCGCTGCTACTAATTACCCTCTGAGTATTGCTTTTGCTGTGTCCCAAAGGTTTTGGTCTGTTGTGTTTTCATCTCCTTTGGCTCAAGAAATTTTTCCTTTATTTTTCAATTCTTCTATTACTAGTGATTTTTAAAGCAAAGTGTTGTTAAGTTTCCATGGATTTTATTTTTTACATGAACTTCTTGATATTTATTTGTAGCATTGTGATCAGAGAAGATGCATTGTAGCATTGTGTTTTAAAATTATTGAGGTTTGCTTTGCGATATAACAGTTCTTTATACTCTGGAAACGAATATCTTTTGTATTCTTGTTGGTGGAGTGTTCTGTTTATGTTTGTGAGACTGAATTGGCTAATTTCTTGTTTTGTTATTCTGAGTTTAATTTCTTCTTCATTGTTCTATCTTTCATTGTAATTGGTGTATTAAAATATTCTTGTACTACTGTGTAACTCTCTGTCTTCAGTTCTGCTACTTTGTTTTGAATGCATCGATGTTATCATTATGTCCTTTGGCACCACTGAGCCTTTAATAGTTATGTAACTCCCTTCTATCCTGGTCTCTCATCAGAAATGAATATTAGCATCAACATTGACACTTTTAAATTTTTTTTAATTATTGAGTACTTTCTTTTAAATTTTCTTCTAGTTAATTTACAAAATTCAAGTACATATTTGAACAAATTCTTTCAATGTTTCTCACCCCCAACCCATCAAATTATACAACCCAATGATAATTCTCCTCTCCCCCTGAACATCCACATCCCTCTGCTTCTACCCTCTCCCACCACTCTTGCATCATTATACTCATCCTACATAATGGTTTCATACAATATTTACCCTTGTGGGACTGAGTTAATTCACTCTCTCCAGTCTGTCCCAACTTAGGTAATAATTTATAAAATCATTGCTCCTGCGTGCTGCATAGTATTCTGTTGTGTGAATGCACCATTTGTTTGTGGTTGGACATTTGGGCTGTTTCCATGTTCTTGCCATCAAGCAAGAAACTACTCAACGGCACTTAACAACAACAATAGAGAGAGATCAGTTGGCCTAGTGGACAGAAAGTGATGCTACCATGCCAAAGGTGGGTGACTCTAATCCGCAGCCCTCAGGCCTGTTTTTAATTGTTTTCGGTCAAACATTCTTCTAGGCCATATAGCCCTGGTCTGTCCACTTGCTGTACAGAGGTAACTCGTGGTTGCTGTGAAGCTGTACACTGTGATACTGATGTGTCAAATGTAATAATGGTTACCCATAGTGGACAGTGTTTGGTGAAGCTCCCTAATTAAAACAAGCTTGGAAGCAGGTGTGGCATCCATTTCCGAAATAGCTTGCCTCTGGAAACCCTATGAACCTGGAGAAAAGATGAGAGTTATTTAAGTGTCCAGGTCTTTTGTTCATAAGGTAGCTATGAGTTGCCTATGACTTGATGGCACTTAACAGCAAAAACAGTCATGTTTTTGTGATAGTGAATAATGCTGCTATGAACGTGGTACAAATCTCAGTTTGTGCCTCAGTTCCTCATATTCTCAGGCTATATTGCAAGTAGTGAAATAGCTTGGTCATACGGAATTTCTATGTTTAGCTTTTTTGAGGAAGCACCAAACTGCCTTCCAGAAAAATCAACTCAACGTGGATCAGAGACCTGGGAGTAAAGCCCCAAACCATAACACTCATAAGAGATGAACTGGGATCAAGCTTAGAAGCACTAGTCCAAGATATAAAGAGACTGCCAAAAACAACCAGAAATGCACAGTCTAAAGAGGATAAAATTGATGAATGGGACTTTCTAGAGATTAAATCCCTGTGCACATCAAAAACTTTTTCCAACAGGGTGAAAAGAAAACCTACAGACTGAGAAAAAACATTTGGTAATGCCATCTCTAACAAGAATCTTATAACAAACGTTTAGAGAATACTCCTGGGCCTTCACAAAAAAAAAAAAAGACTGATAATCCAATTACAAAATTGGCAAAAGACATGGAAAGAATTTCAACAGAGGAAGATATTTGAATGGCAAACAGACACATGAAGAAATGTGCACTAAGAGAGATGAAAATCAAAACCACAATGAGGTAAAATCTCACTCCAGTAAGAGTGGCAAAGTTTAACAGGGCAGAAAAAAAATAAATATAGGAGAATATGGAGAGAGAAAGGAACTATTATACATTGTTGGTGGGATTATAAAGTGACTGTGTGGATCATAACAAACTGTGGCTGACTCTGAGAAGAATGGGAATCCCAGAACATTTGATCATTCTAATGTGAAACCTATACCTGGACCAGGAGGCAGTCATCGGAACAGAGCATGGGAACACATG